AGAAAAAGAAGAGAAGAGAGAGAGAGAGAGAGAGAGAGAGAGAGAGAGAGAGAGAGAGAGAGAGAGAGAGAGGGGGGGATAGGATCACTTCACAGTACTGTACAGCCAAAGGGTAAGATCAAAGCGAAGTGAGATAATCTTTGCCTTGGTTGCCCTATTGACAAAGAACAAACTTCGCCTGTAATCATGAACTTGTACTTGGAGGGAAAAGAATTGTCCTTTTGCGGTTTCAAAAGTTTGAAAAAAACAGAATTATTCAATGTTTTACTAGTCACTGTTATTGTGTAGAAGACTGGATACTGTACACAAGGACTAAAAAAAAAGAAAGTCAAAGAGAAGGGGAGAAAAAGAAAGAGACCAGGCACAGCTGCAGTGTCTTTCTTCGCCCAGACCTCTCCCTGTTCACTTGGAAATGGGGGGGGATAAGACAATGCAATCTTGGCAAATTCGAAAACTCTAATATAACACACAATCATTGTGTGTCTTTGATTTGGCATTAGGTCCTGGCTCACCAGAATCGTCCTCTCTGACGACAATAATTAATTTATTCGTAGATTAGAATGAACGGACATATTATAGGGCTTGCGGTCCTGATATAATTTGTTCGTGATGTTTTTATGAAATCTAGTCACTGACTGAAAGTTATGCTTAGAATGACTGTAGTGTATTTTTGCATTGTAAAAATGTGAACATAGTGAAGAAAGAAAGAAGATACGAGACCACAAAATAAAGCAGAAAGAAAGAACTAAAGCATATAAAAAATGCACATGTACATGTACTTCAGCGTGAGTGCACATTGACACGTCTGCTAGTTCTCAGTCGAGCGTGCTTCTGGGAGAATGGTTGGCTGTTCAGCTTGATTAAACTGTACAGATTAAAAGTTTTTGTTTATTTTCTTGTACAGTCATGTCAAAATGAACGCGAGTTTGCGTGATTCGCTGGTGTTATTTGAGAGTGGGACTGGGGGTTCTAAAAAAAACAACAACCCCACCAAACACATGGCGAAAAAAACTATGATGAGTGTGTGGACGTGCAAACTGCCGGTGACACAAAGCTGGGTAGGCAGACAGACTGAGAGACAGACGGCAAAAAGTGTCAGTGTGTGGGCTGACGGACAAAGATGCTCATGTACTTGCGACCATACTGCATTATCGTATATGTAAAGTAAGTGAGTGAGTGAGTGGGTGAGTGAGTGAGTGAGTGAGTGAGTGAGTGAGTGAGTGAGTGAGTGAGTGAGTGATAATATTATTGTTAGTGACGGAGTGAGCGAGACAATGAGAGGGTGAATGCAGTATTTGGCGGACGTAATATTTGAGTCGTATACGCATGTCTATATTATGGCGATGTCGTTCATTGATTTGACACTCCATTTTGTGAAAATAAACCTGACTTGCAAACAATTCCTGTATTTCTTTTTTAATCTCTTGACCAAAACATTGCTTCTAAAAAGTCACAAACCAAAACCAGAGTGTTCTTACCACCACAAGAGAGATGTACCAACGCCATAGCCAGGCTGATCTACCCTTATGTTCTGCGCCCCCAGTCTTACTAGCATATCTATTATGACGACATCGGTACGATAGTCAAGAATAAGTTAACGTATAGTACTCAGTTTTCTATGGATACACAGATGAGAAGAAAAAACCCCACCACCCTCGGGCTTATAACACAGTTAAACTGCAAAATCTGAAGATATAGTTGGCAGAACCATTATATAATTTGGTACTGGGAAGATCAAGATAGTGCGGCTGGTATAAATAGTCCGTATTTTTTTAATTCATTTTAAAATTCTCTCTACATCACTGGTACTGTCCCCTGAGTATTCAGTTTCTTTTGATACCCGAAATTAAAAGGAGCTACGCAGAAATGATTTTCTTTTTACACATTTCTTCTACATGATGAGCCCACCACTCAACCAGGATATCGTACCTGGTACAACATTCCTTCGTTCTCATTTGAACTGCTTCACATTATAGACCACTTGTTCGACGGGACCAAAGAATGGGCTTGTATCTCACTTTGAAAACGACGGGAATATGTTGAAACTTCCCACAATCCGGGTTCGGTAAAGACAGGATTAGCATAACAACCCTTGTATGGGTAAGATATGAGTTGAAAGCTTCTTCAAATAGCCTGCAGTAATGTGATTTAAGAAACGGAATGTTCGATTTCAACTTCCAGCTCCCATACGACCAAACAATTTAATCTAAAAAATGATCCGTTGGAGATTCGATCCAGTTTCAACGACTACACAGTCCTTAATGACAGCAACTGGGCTATTGGCGTGCACCATCCGCACCCCTGACCCGGTTTACCCGTTATTATAAATCGGCAACAGCTTACTCATTTTTGGGTCGCCCCAGATAAAAGAAGTAGAAAGAACAGAGACTCCTGAGCATCTACGGACCATCCTCTTATATAATTAGATTTATTAATCCTGGCAATTTTTACTAAAATCGTACAATAATTTGATTATGCCGGACTAAATCCGCCCAGTTTACTGTGTACTGTAAATAACATTTTCAAACAAAGTCGCTAAAAAGCAGGAAACATTTCAAAACTGAAATTTATAGGCAACGGCACAGAAAGGAGCCAACTAAGATATAATTATATTATTTGTTTTATTTACAATATTATTACACACATCAGTCCAAAAATAGTCTACCGTGTCCTTGAGTACCAATCCGACACCAAAAGGTACTAACTGAACAAAGTGTACTTTACGCTGCTCCCAAACTTTGATCGTTTTGGGTTTTCTTGGTGTTTTTGTTATACATGTACATGTATTTTGCTTGATTGATTGTTTTGTTGTTGTTTATTATTGTATTTTATTTTGTTTTATTTTTAAAATCATTGTAAAAAATT